CTAAAAGTGATGATTCTTGCAGTTTATAAGATTAAATTAATTTTGCAAAAGGCAAAAATGAATGAAAAAAAAAAAAGCTGGCAGAAATATCAGTTTCATGGAAAGCGTGTTTGATGAAGTTTCTTGTGAAGGATTTTTTTTTTTTTTTAGGCGTAAAACCCTAGCATATCTACATGGTGACTTCAAGCACCGTATGGTGATGAAGATTTTTTTTTTTTTTACATGGTGATTGCTTTTACACCCATATAGGATGAAAAAGCAATCATTTCTTTTTCTCTCTGTGTGCATTCTTGCACTCATTGAGAAGTACGAGTGAGCTGTGATTGGTCACAGCTTGTCACATGGTACAGGCTTTTGTAAATAGCCTGTGAACATTCATGTGCTCTGTCGAATCATGATCACTGGATTTCACATCGACGCAATGATGTCACAAGTGACATCTTGCTTACTAAATTGCATGTGATTCTGTGGCCAATCAGTGATCAGAATGATCGGGACCTCGAAGTGAAGCCGGTCTGTCCGACGATCAGGTGTTTCACTGTGGCCGGAGGACACCGGGCACCATTGCGGTGCTAAAGCGCTCCCAGGGAGCGCGCAAAAGCAGGGTGGAGGAGGCCGAAAATAGACGGCCACCCCATCCCTGCAGTGCCACCGTCGGCCATTATTATATACAACTCTAAAGTCTGACGGGAAGTGTTAAAAGCTTTATATCCAAACAACTCACATTTTTAAGTGCCGTAAGCCGACACTAGCATAAACCACAAACACATAAAACCGCTTCAAAAGCCGGAGATGCGGCAGCTTACAGAACTTGGTGAATCAACACTGCAAGGCATTCCACCGTAGATTTTCGTCACTTGACGTCTTGACGGAGCGGAAGTGGTATTTTTGTCACAGTGATGATTGCTGCAGTTTATAAAATTAAATTAATTTTTGCAAAAGGGCACATCCATGAATGAATGAAAAAAAACAAGGCAGACAACAGTATGTGTGTGCATGGCCAACAGCGTGTGGTGATGAAGTTTCTGAAGGAAGGTGTAAAACCCGCGGATATTACAGAAGACTTCAGCACCGTACGGTGATGAGACGCCCAGCCGCAGTAAGTTCATCTGAATGGTGTAAATGATTCAGTGATGGTCCCGGCTGCGTAGACTCGTTTTTTGTTCCCAGTCCACAGCAGTCATTCCTCTGTGGTTTTTTAGCGCGCTCGAACGCCTGATCCTGGATAATCGACGCATAACCTGTGATGAAATTGCACAAGAAATTAATGTTTCTGTGTGAACGGTGAACAGAATGATGATGAAGTGAAGCCGGCTGGCCTAGGATGGTTCAGGCACACTGGCAAATCTTTCTATGCCAAAGCTTTCCAGGCATTAGTTAAAGGCTGGGATAAGTGTATAAATGTAGCAGGGGAGCATGTTGAAAAATAAATGCAGTTTCCATCCCTTGAAGTTTGTTCTATTATTGTATAAACTCTAAAGTCTGACTTGAATGCCCCAAATATACACTCAACTGCCACTTTATTAGGTACACTTTGCTCGTACCGGGATGGACCCCCTTTTGCCTTCAGAGCTGCCTTAATTCTTTGTGATTCAACAAGGTGTTGGAAACATTCCTCATAGATTTTGGTCCATATTTACATGATAGCATCACGCAGTTGCTGCAGATTTGTCGGCTGCACATCCATGAACCGTTGATACAAGGCATGTTGTTTTACGCCAAATTCTGACCCTACCATTTGAATGTCACAGCTGGAATTGAGACTCATCAGACCAGGCAACGTTGTTCCAATTCTTTTGGCCCATATTTGATGAGCCTGTGCCAATTGTAGACTCTGTTTTTTGTTCTTAGCTGGAGGAGTGGCACCCGCTGTGGTTTTCTGCTGCTTTACCCCAGCTGCTTTGACCAACCCGTCTGCACCAAAAACCATGCCAAATGGAAAAGTCTCTTCAAGGCATCCCCATTTTGATGCTCAGTTTGAACTTCCACAAGTAATCTTCAACCACGTTACATTCCTAGATGCATTGATTTCTGCCATGTGATTGGCTGATTAGCAATTTTTGTTACAGGTGTACCTAATAAAGTGGCTGGTGAGTGTATATACACTATTTTGCCAAAAGTATTGGGCCAGCCCTCCAAATCACTGGATTCAGGTGTTCCAATCTCCTCCATGGACACAGGTGTATACAATCAAGCCCCTAGGCATGCAGTCTTCTTCTACAAACATTGGTGAAAGAATGGGTCGCTCTCAGGAGCTCAGTGACTCCAAGCGTGGTCCTGCGATGGGTTGTCAGCTGTGCACCTAAGTCCATCCGTGACATTTCCTGGCTACTAAATATTCCACGCTCAACTGTCAGTGGGATTATAACAAAGTGGAAGCAACTGGGAACAACAGTCAACTCAGCCACCAAGTGGTAGGCCACGTAAAAGACATGGTGGTCAGCGCATGCTGAAGCACGCAGTGTGCAGAAGTCGCCAACCGTCTGGAGAGTCAATAGCTAAAGACCTCAGACAAACTTGGTGTGGCCTTCAGATTGAGCCCAACAACAGTGTGTAGAAGCTTCATGGAATGGGTTTCCATGGCCGAGCAGCTGCATCCAAGCCTTCCATCACCAAGTGCAATGCAAAGCTCAGATGCTGTGGTGTAAAGCACGCCGCCACTGGACTCTAGAGCAGTGGAGACGTGTTCCCTGGAGTGACCAATCACGATTTTCTCTCTGGCAATCCGATGGACGTGTCTGGGTTTTCCGTTGCCGGAGGAGGATCCTACTTGCCTGACTTTATTATGCCAAGTGTAAAGCTTGGTGCAGGGGGGATTATGGTATGGGGTTGTCTTTCAAAGGTTGGAACTTTTTGGCCCCCTAGTTCCAGTGAAGGGAACTTTGGGCGTCAGGGGCATACCAAGACATTTTGTACAATTTCATGCTCTCAACTTTGTGGGAATCAGTTGGGGGGATGGCCAGCCTGTTCCAACAGGGAACATGCCCACCAGTGCACAAAAAAGGTCCATAAAGACATGGAGGAGCCAATTTGGGGTGGATGGAACTTGACTGTCCTGCACAGAGTCCTGACCTCAACCCCATAGAACACCTTTGGGATGAAATTAGAGCGGAAAATGTATATTATATAGGGCACACTTGTTTGGAGCCCAAACCTCTGTAGCTGTAGGATAAAGGTGCCAGATGGATATCAGGGATGGATGGATGGGAGCAGTAACACTGAGGCAACTCTTCTTAGAGTGGAAGCAAGGCTCTAATGCAGTAACAAGAAAAAAGAGTGGAAGGCGCCTCTAAGTGCAGTATTGACAATGTTTTTAGTAAACAATGGTACATTTCACTTACAAGATAAAATATTAAAAAGACCTAAAAGAGCATGCATGTGATGTAATAAGATCCAGGTGGGACATCCAGCCGTCCAAGAATGGGCAAAATACTCAATCAAAAATTAGAAAGACTCTTGCCAGGCCTCCTCCCCCGACAAAAAGCTGTTTACAAGCTGTGATGCTTCTGGAAAATGGTCCACCTTCCCATAGACACCCTTAACTGTGGACGGGTGCCCAAACTTTTGCAGCTGTTATAGCCAAGAGCGGGTTTTCTGTTATATTGAAAGTGGTAAATGATGGGGGGCCATTAAAATTAACTTGTTGTTGACATATTAAAGCGGGGCTAAACTGTAATTTGATGCCTTACAGGAGACTTTTTCCATCTTTCCTTGGTGTGTAAAGGCCTTTATGCACATTACTTACAAATTTTTAGTGTGTGTGGGTGTATAACTTTCGATCCCCACTGTATATATATATATATGTATGTGTATATATGTATGTATATATCATGTTTTATGTTTAAAAATGTTTTATTTTTTTTTTTCTGAACAAAGTACAGAGGACAGTGTGTATATATCCAGTAACAGGAATACCAAGGGTGTTACAAAAGTGCAGATCTTAATGGAAATTGGAAGAAAGAATGTCATTCTGATGTCATTGTAACTCTGGAAAGTATTTTGTAAAGAGCCATTAGGCTAGTACAAAAAGGAGAAAGATGAAAGTAACAAGAAAAAACAGGCTGGAGGGGATGTTGACAGGGGAGGGGGGGAGCTCACAGATTAGAGGAGAAATCAGAGGAGTATCTAAAGTGAGACTAGATCGTCCATGTAATTTTATAGGCTTCCAATTTGCCATTTTCCCAGGAGACCATCAGCTCCTATTTCAACATATTTGAAAATCCATTGATGTTTCACTTACATTCATTATAATAACGGAATGACGTGTGGGATGAGCTTCATGCTGGCCTTACACTGTGCAAATTGTGTCTGGATCCCGTTGAATCAGCTGAAATTCTCTTAGAGGGTGGCCCAGCATCTTTCAATTAAAAAAAATCGGAGGAGCCAGGCAGAAAACTGACAGCCAAACAGCAGCTGCATCCAATCAAAATACAGCAAGCATAGCTGGAGATTCCTCATCTGCGCTGTATAGCATGGATGGAGAAATATTTTTTTTTTTTTATTTAGCCTGTAGGCTGAAAAAAAAAATTCTGGAAGTGTATAAACATCTCCCTGACTTTTGGAGAGATTTCCTCTTACTTCCTTTTGTGCCTACAGGACAGGAACAGTAATGGGATCCCCCAACACACACACACACACACACACAAACCATGTTTAAATGCGTTTTTATTACAAAATATATAAAAAAATATTTTTAGCAATAAATTTTCAAATATACTGTATGTCTTTAAAAATACAAATCTACATTTTTGGAATGCATTTACAAATATATGTTAACCCTTTGGTGCCTGCGCCTCCTGGCCCTTTAAGGGTTTCAGAAGCGGGAGGGGGCGGGGTGTTAGGGTCATGTGACCACCGTGATTCGTCATCATGGTGGTCACATGATCGGGAAAGGTCCCGATCGAAAGAGGAGATCGCGACCTTTCCGTGAGTACTGGACATGCATGCTGGGCAGGGCGCGCGCTCTCAGACACATATGTTTTTCTTAATTGCACACAAATGTGCGGCCGCTCGGCGTCTAGGCCCAGACGCCGGGAGGTCGCACATTTGTGTGCGGCCGCCGTGAAGAGGTTAAAATTATTTTTTTATATGTTAAAAAAAAATTTTTTTAAAAATATATATTTTTAAAAATATATTCTGCAGATTTTTTTTTTTTATATTCTTTTTAACATATAAAAATGTCATTTTAACATCTATTTTTACATCCATTTGTAAATGCATTCCTAAAATTCCAACATTTTAGCTGTATATAAACTGTGAATAGAATGGGAATAGACTTTTTTTTTTTTTTTTTTTGGTTGTTTTAAACGTAGTGGATGTATTACAAAAAAAATGGACCCCCCCCCTGCAGCACCCCAGTACATTAAAAAGATAAAAGAAAACATCAACATTTATTACTGTTTATGCAGCAAGACTGCATTAGAGGAATAAATAAATAAATCTAAAAAAAATCCAAAAGGGTTCAGCTGAACAGTTCTATTATCACATGGCATGTTTTCTAGTATGTAAATAAAGGAAAACTCTTGCAATTTCTTCTACTGATGAGGTATAATACAAACGTCCAGGTGTTTCCCTGCATTTCCCCTTCAAGCGGGTCATGGCGTAGGTTTGTATCATGCTGGCTGCACGTTTATAAGGTGTTGCATCACTCACTACAAAGTGATCTTGTGACTTGGAACCAGGCAATTATGGTAGGAAATCCCTGACAGTAAGAAGGTGACAGTTTAATTGGCAGTCTTCCCCGTCTTCATGAAGTTAGAGTATCTACAGCTTTGAGAAAAGTACCTCTTTGAAATGTGAGAAATCCTCGGAAGTTTCCCTATAAATGCCGAATAAAACAATATTTGTTTTCCAATAAAGTTAAAAGTGTAAGTTGAACAGGAAAAAAGTATACTAAAATTAAGTTTAGTAAAAAACACAATAATATACCCAGTTAAAATATAGAATGGGGTTGCGTTGAATAAATAGATACCAAACATGTCGAGCCTTAAAACTGCTTGAACCTGTGAATCGCGAAAAAAAATAGTACCCAAATTAACTGTGAATTACGGCCCTAGAATTATTGATGTCACTCTTGACATTAGTGGCAATCAGGGGTAGACTGAACATTTAGCCACTCGGGGCACTGCCCGAGGGCCCAGGGTCAGTAGGGGGCCCCATGAGATTCCCCTGGTACCTTTCATTAGCTTTTTCATAGGCTTTTTTGGGTGTGGGCGAGGACACGGGGGTCCCCATAATCCCCTATTGCCCGGGGGCCCCATGAGTTGAGTTGTCAGTCCGCCCCTGGTGGCAATACTTAACATACACTCACCAGGCACTTTATTAGGTACATCTTGCTACCCTGCTGCTGTAGCCCATCTGCTTCAAGGTTCAACATGTGTGTTCAGAGATGGTATTCTTCACACCGTGGTTGTAACAAGTGGTTATTTGAGTTACTGTTGCCTTTCTATCATCTTGAACCAGATATCAACAAAGCATTTTCGTCCACACAACTGCCACTCACTGGATATTTTTTTCTTTTTCGGACCATTCTCTGTAAACCCTAGAGATGGTTGTGCGTGAAAATCCCAGTAGATCAGCAGTTTTTGAAATACTCAGACCAGCCCGTCTGCCATCAACAACCATGCTACGTTCAAAGTCACTTAAATCCCCTTTCTTCTCCATTCTGATGCTCGGTTTGAACTTCAGCAAGTCGATTTCACCACGTCTACATGCCTGAATGCGTTGAGTTGCTGCCATGTGATTGGCTGATTAGTAATTTGTGTTACTGAGCAATTAAACAGATGGACCTCATAAAGTGTCCGGTGAATGTATGTAACACAATTTGTGTTCATGTACTTGTGCGTGTGCCCATTGGAGTGTGACGGAATGCCTTCAAATTTCTTAATATTAATATTTTTTATATATCTTGTTACAATTTATTTTTTTGAAACACTTTTTTTTCTTTATCAAACTTTAAAAAAACAGTGTTTTTAATTTGTTTTATCACATTTTTTTTAACTTGAATTTTCTTATTTCATTGAACGATATAGCTATCACAAGGGGGCTAACAAGCCCCCTATGTGATAGCATGGGCAGGTGACAGGTCCTCTTTATAGAGACATCAAGGGGTTTATTTACTAAAGCTGGAGAGTCCAAAATCAGACTCCCTTCTGCATAGAAACCAATCCCTAACCTGCTTGTTCAATGAAGCATTGGCAATGAAACCTGGAACATTGGTTTCTATGCAGAAGGGAGTCTGATTTTGGACTCTCCAGCTTTAGTAAAACCCCCAAGGGTCTGTTAGACCCTCCAAGGTCTTCCCCGCTGTTCACTGTAACTAATCAAGAATAGATTGTGCTTGATTAGCTGTTTCCCCAGCTACAGTAGCCGGAGAAGGACAGCTGTGAACTCTAAAGTACCCCAATGTACGCCACGTCTGGGTTTAGGGGGTATTGGGAAGCAGATGTTACCTGGTCAACTCCTGCTCCAAATGGTACAACTGTTTACCAGGGTCCTGGGCTACCTGCAGCAATGGGAGAGCCTGGGATCCACAGCAGTCCTGCTGGCTGAGGTGGGGGATGCTCACCTTCACCCCCCGGTTCACGTCTATACGGGTGGTGACGCTGCGGATCTGAATCCGTGCAGCGCACCACCCACACAGAGAATTGCGAACCCGCGGGCAGGTACCATTAGTTCTAATGGCACGTCGCCCGTACTGGGAAACGCAACCGTACTGGGAACCGAGGCTGCGTTTTCCAGAGTAGTGCAGGGACTTCTTTTCCTACGGGGCACGGGAGTCCATTCAAATGAATGGGCTCTCGTGCCCGAGCAAAACGCAGCCCGCACGGCCGCATAGGTGTGAACCTAGGGTTAGGGCCCCTTAAACATGATTGGGCAGCTCTAAAGGTGCCCGGATCACTTTTTTCCTGAAAGCCCTTTGCCAGCTGTAACAATCAATAGCAATCTCATGGGTGTGAGCTTTCTTTAACCCTTCATATACCAGGCTGTTTATAAACGTACGTTGGTAGAAAGGGGAATAAGGGCTTTGTTCACACACCAGCGGCCACTGTTGTGCGCTGTGACGGGTGCATTCTAATGACACACCACACCGTGTACTTTTTTAAAGCTTTATTGAAATGCCACAAAATTAAATTTCGTTCCTATTTAGGACTCTTTCACACGGGCGTTCCGTATGTCCGTTTTTCATCCGTCTGTTTACGGATGAAAAACGGACACCCATGTATTTCTGTGGACTAGCGGATGCAAACGGATGATCATCTGTTTACATACGTTAATGTCTGCATTTGTTTTTTTGTGAACGGAAGAAAATCCTATTTTTCTTCTGTTAAAAAAAACGGATGTAAATGGATGAAAAGCGGATGAAAACTGATTGTGAACTGATCTGTTTTTTCTTGGAAAAAAACGTGAGTGAACTGATAAAAAAAAAAACGGAAAGTGGCCTTAAAGCGGAGTTCCACTCAACCTATCAAAAAATAAAAATCAGCAGCTACAAAAACTGTAGCTGCTGACTTTTAAAAAACAGCCACTTACCTGTCCCTCGGTTCCGCAGTGTGTCCCCCGCAGCCTGTTTCTCCAGCCGTCCTTTATTCCAGGAGGCCAGCATCTTCAGTGTGGTCACCTGGCTGTGATAGCTTGCACCTTCACAGCCGGGTACCCACTGCGCATGCGCAAGTAGCGCTGTGCTTCGTGAATGGTCCTGTAGTCTTCTGGGACCTGTCACGTGTCCCAAAAGACTACAAGGAGGGAGGGGAGGAGGACCCCTTCCGCTTCTGATCACCTAGGCCAGGGATAGGCAACCTGAAAGCCGCAGGACTACAAGTTCCATCATGCCTCATAGCTGTAACTGTCAGTTTTGTAATCTTTGCAATGCCTCATGGGAATGTAGTTCCACAACAGCTAGAGAGCCGCAGGTTGCCTACCCCTGGCCTAGGCGATCGGACCGGAAGTGTGAGTGAGTACCTGTCAAATTCGGTTACCCACTCCCCAAAGTGCCAATCCTTAACTGGGAGTGAGGGAGCAGTCCTTAAAGCCGAACTTCCCCTTTTGGGTGGAGTTCCGCTTTAAGCACCGCAGCACTTTGTAATGTGGTTTAGTGCGTCATAACATGCCGAGCTGAAAAAAAAAGTGCAGCATGTCTGGCGTGGATGGTGACAATGGCCTTACAGTACTATGTAACAGACATCCCACAAGCCCTATCCGATTCAATCAGGAATCTATAACAAGTGGGAATTTTTTTTTTTTTTAGCACGAGAGGAAATTTTTGACTTCCTAATTTTTCCGAAATTAGTGCACTAAGCTGCCTGGCACACTTGAGAAGAAAAAAAAAGATTGTTGCTCAATAGCATGACTGAGCATTCTCATATAGCTGCTCATGCAGATCAGTCGCTTATCAGCTTTACTATTTTACAACTATAAAGGAACATTCTGTAAATATAACTATTCCATTCCCCTCAGCTTCTGCGTCAGCAGAAATGTTTGTGAGGGATCTGGATTCCAGGATTGAATTTGAGGGGTTTTTTTGGCACGAAGGTGAATTCTTTATGGCATCCAACTCGTGCTATTACGAAGGTGAAATAAAACCAGTCCCCCTATGAATGATCCTGCTACCGTCTTGGTACTGTGTGTTTTGTATCATTTTTTTTCTTTTTTTACACAATTGACGTAAATGTAAACCCACCACTGAAATCTCCATTGTTAATCATTTCAGAATTCATTTTAGAGACTGTATAATCATATGCGATATGGTGAGAAGGGATTAAAGGAAATATAAAGCCCTCCAACCAAGGTATTCACCTTTCTCCCTTCCATAATATTTAGGAGGCTTGTTTTCCATTTCGGGACAGCAGGGAACAGGGCCGCCATTTTAAATCTTAGGGCCCCACACTGTCTGCCTGAAAGGGTCCCCCCTTCTCTCCGCCTTCCCCTTTTTAGTAGGGATGAGAAAATGGGTCAATGTGAATCTGGTTTCCGAACTTTGGCTGTTTGGGCATTTAGATGCAAGGTTGCCATTTTAAATCATAAGTCCCCACACTGCTTGCCTGAGAGGGCCCCCCACTTCTCCGCCTTCCCCTTTTAGTAGGGATGGGTCAATGTGAATCTGGTTTCCGAACTTTGGCTGTTTTGGGCGTTTAGATGCATGGCTGCCATTTTAAATCATAGGACCCCACACAGCCTGCCTGAGAGGCCCCCCACTTCTCCACCTTCCCCTTTTAGTAGGGATGGGTCAATGTGAATCTGGTTTCCGAACTTTGGCTGTTTTGGGCATTTAGATGCAAGGTTGCCATTTTAAATCATAAGTCCCCACACTGCCTGCCTGAGAGGCCCCCCAACTTCTCTGCATTCCCCTTTTAGTAGGGATGAGCCAATGGGTCAATGTGAATCTGGTTTCCAAACTTTGGCTGTTTGGGAGTTTAGATGCAGGGCTGCCATTTTAAATCATAGGACCCCACACAGCCTGCCTGAGAGGCCCCCCACTTCTCCACCTTCCCCTTTTAGTATGGATGAGCCAATGGGTCAATGTGAATCTTGTTTCCAAAGTTTGGCTGTTTGGGCTTTCAGATGCAGGGCTGCCATTTTAAATCATGGGGCCCCATACTGCCTCTCTGAGAGGGTGCTCTCTTCTCTGCCTACCTCGTTTAGTAGGGATGAGCCAATGGGTCAATGTGAATCTTGTTTCAGAAATTTGGCTGTTTGGGTATTCAATGCAGGGCTGCCATTATAAATCGTAGGGCCCGATACTGCCTGCTTGAGAGGTCCCCCCTTCTTCTTGCCTTCCCCTTTTAGTAGGGATGAGCCAATGGGTCAAGGCGAATGTTGTTTCTGAACTTTGGCTGTTTTGGCTTTCAGATGCAGGGCTGCCATTTTTAAATCATGGGGCCCATACAGCCTGCCTGAGAGGTCCCCCCTTCTACGCTTTCCCCTTTTAGTAGGGATGAGCCAACAGTTCAGTCTGAAACTTGGTTCAGATTGAAGTTTGGCTGGCAGACTTTGGGTGAACACCCGAATTTGTGTTAGTTTGGTCCCCTGATTTGCGGAAACCGAATATCACATATATTAGCAAAATTTATAACACTTCTAATTATGACGCCATCCCACTGTCAATGGTTTCTAAGGAAGCCATTCTGCCCGCCCCAATGAATTATTATTGAAGAAGAGGCCCAGAAGTTTCATTTACAGGAGCCACCGCACAGAGAATTATTCCTCCTGCTCCTGAAAAGGAGTTAATAGCCCCTTTTCTGTTATTTTCTATCTAAAGGGGTTGTAAACCTCAGACACAGAATATGGACAAAGCATATCCCTCTACAATATGTACTTGTCAATTAAGAGTACTAAGTGTCATTTCTGTCTGCTGCTTTGTTCCTTTGGCTAGCGGCATGAATAACTTCTGACAAGTTTTCCTGACACCAAGAGAAAAATGGTGACAGGGGAGGGACCTCCAGCACCCAGCCTGTGATTGTCAGCTCTGCAGTGTGTATTTCAGCTTTCCGCCCCCTTTTTTTTATGAACTCTCAGACAAGCATTATAAATTCAGCACTATACATAAATTACACTACACATGTTAATTACCACAAAAGTCTTTATTAGCTGCAGTGGAAGGCAAGGGAGACATTGAGGGGGGTCTAATACTCCCCTGATGTCTCCACAAAGAAGGGCTGTCACCTGCTCATGCTATCAGATAGGGGGTTTGTTAGCCCCCTTGTGATAGCAATAAAGTTAAATGAAAAAAAAGAAAAATTAGGGCTTTTGTATTTCAATGGTTTTTATTCATTTTAAACAGTATAAAACAGAGGCAACAAAACACACCCACGCAGGGGCTATCAATGGCACATAGATAATGAATATAGCGAGCGCTCAGAAAAACCAGCTGCTAGAACACTTCAAGGGATCACTAAACCTCATAGTAGAGACATTATATATATATAGTGCAGCGCTGAAAATGTAATGAAATAAGGTATAAAATAAGGTATAAAATATATAAAAGTCTTTCTCATGACAATAAAGTCAATAAAATCAATAAAATCAAATATGTGCAGGTCTTCTCCTCATTAGGTGACTGGAAAATAACAGGATTGCGCACTCACCGACCGCACATTTAAAATGCGCCTGTGTATGATATACTCCAAAAGACCAGCCAGGTATACAGCTCCAGAGACCACACGAATCCTCCCTCCTCCACACTCTCATGCGCCTTGGGTGTAGCAATATCTCCAGATCCAAAGGTAGAAAGACAGAGATCCCCCTTTTTTGGCTCCAGACACCCCAAGAATGGAAGATGTGTATCTGCACTCTCCAACAGGAGAGTCAAAGAAAAAGGGAACGCCAATAGTGTGGTACTATCAAAACTTTATTGGAGCAATAATGCCTGGGTCATATGCACACACATATCCATACACCATAAGCCAATAACGGACAGGTAAAGTATGATAAAGAAAATGGTACTAACCCGGCAATGGCATAAAAACAAAGACCACTAGACCTCCTCTTGGTCTCAGTGGTCTGGAAGTCACACTTGCTACTTGGCTCCTCCTGAGGCCTTTCGTGCAAAAAGCACTTCTTCAGAGGATGGACGCCACTGACTTCAGTGGCGTCCATCCTCTGAAGAAGTGCTTTTTGCACGAAAGGCCTCAGGAGGAGCCAAGTAGCAAGTGTGACTTCCAGACCACTGAGACCAAGAGGAGGTCTAGTGGTCTTTGTTTTTATGCCATTGCCGGGTTAGTACCATTTACTTATCATACTTACCTGTCCGTTATTGGCTTATGGTGTATGGATATGTGTGTGCATATGACCCAGGCATTATTGCTCCAATAAAGTTTTGATAGTACCACACTATTGGCGTTCCCTTTTTCTTTGACTCTCCTGTTGGAGAGTGCAGATACACATCTTCCATTCTTGGGGTGTCTGGAGCCAAAAAAGGGGGATCTCTGTCTTTCTACCTTTGGATCTGGAGATATTGCTACACCCAAGGCGCATGAGAGTGTGGAGGAGGGAGGATTCGTGTGGTCTCAATGGCACATAGGTTACAATAACATCAGTAAGACTCTGACTATCGCAACTAAAGATAGTTGTCCACTGTCACATCAAAACAAACAGAAAAGGAGAGAAGAAGAGCAGAGAAGCAAGGGAAAAAAAAACAAAAACAAAAAGAAAAAAAAAAAAAAACCCCAAAGAGCAGGGGTCCACGAGCGCCAATACCAAACTCCATTACCTCCCCACACTGGCCGGGGGGAGCGTGGGAAAGGCGTATTGCAACCACGGCTCCCATACTTTCAAAAATTTATGTTGAGAGTCGTTGCATATACTCGACATCTGTTCGTTGAGCATCATAGTAGTCACACGATCCCGCACCCCCTGGAAAAATACAAACAGACTCTTCCAGGCCTGAGCAATTGTCCTAGTAGCCGATAAAAACAAATAGGAAGCTAACCGCTGCTGACGAGCCAAGAGGCCCGGTATGGGGCAATGAAGCAAAGCATACCGAGCATCCCGGCGTATGGAGAGATGGAACAAAGTGAAAAGGAGGCCAAACACACAAGACCAAAAATGAACCAACCTCGGGCATGACCACCAGATATGCAGTACATCGCCACGATGGCCACAACCCCAAAAACATCGATCACTACAGGCAGGGTTAGCCTGGGCCAGACGAGCCGGAACCCAGTACCAACGGAACAATACCTTGTAGGCTGCTTCCAGCGTGGTCGTATTAAATGAACATTTAGCTATGAGTGACCAGGCCCTACTCCAGTCCTCCGGATCCACAGCCACTCCCAGGTCGCGTTCCCGCTGAACAACATATGAAAGAGAAGTGTGAGACGAGCGTCTGTTCAAAGCTGCGTAAAGAAGGGAGATAAGGCCCGGGGCGCCCGGGTGCTGCTGGCAAAGCCGTTCAAAGGCAGATTTCTGATATGGGAAAGCAGAAGTG